TTTCTTTATTTAGCACCTTGTTGCATTAAAATGTAGGATTTTTTTGTCAAGCGTGAATCAATAAATAAAGCAAGTGCTTCTTCTGGAGTGTATTTAACTGGCTCCAAAGGTGACGTTGAAATTGCTTTCTTGATTCTGTTGAGAACTTTTGCAAAACCGACATAAGCTTTTGTTTCTTTCGCTTGCTCCCAAGATCCATAAAAACTTTGCAAAGTCTGCCTTTGGTTGGACCAGGTTTGTTTTGGTCTTCCAAAAAATAATGTTTTTATCCAGCCAGTCAGAATATCTCTTTTCGAAAACCTTTCCAGTGCGATTGCAGTTTTTGCACATTTTCGAAACAGAACTAGTAAACTTATTTACCATTTCTTGTACTGAATCACTTTTGCTGTCATCTTTATTATCTTCTAAATGAAGCTTATTTAAAACATAGATCAGAACAGAAGCATTCTTTTCTTGTAATAAGTTTTCTCCATCCCAAACATCAAACATATCGCTTTTCCGAATTGACATCGTTCCAAAAAAATACAAGTTCTTCGATATAGGCACTTCTTGGCACACAAATTTCATATTGATTGCAACTTTAGAAAATGTTTTAACGAAAAAAAAATGTTTCAAGATAAACATGCCCAAACATCGAAATCTGCAACTTTACCATCTATTTTCTTTTTCAATAAGTAATTATCAGTAATGCTACTTTCTTTATTTTTTTAAAGGCTTTTACAAGTATCAGAAAATAACGATAATACAAAGATGTAAAGTACTTACCCAACTCTTTAAGAGGGAAAAATCTAAATTACACAAAATGGATGACAAACACCGCAATAATCAATCAAACTTAGGAAATAAATAGCGACTATTTCAAGTAAGAACACAATTTGAATATTGGTGTCACTTTGGTGGCCAAAAACTTAGTAACCTAATACGATAAAATAAAAAAAGACATAAGCATTTTATTAGATGGAACGTTATTTTTAAGATAAAAATAATGTTTTTGTTGTTCCTTTTTTTAATTCAAAATTAATTCCTGGGTTTCAGTCATTTATTGTCTCTATTTATCAATTAAAATACGTTTGGGTGTATTTTTCCACCATCAGTTTTTCTAAAATAACAGATAGTTAAAAAAAAATTCATTAATTTAAAAAACAACCACAGTTCGTCAACAGCCTCATCATATCACACATTAAAATACATCACAATTGCAATACTTTAAAACATTCTAAAATTAATTAGGCCTAACAGGTGATTAGTCAGGACAATCAAGGACACAAGGCGAATAAAATTCTGTTTATATTGATTTCTTTTACTTTCAGCTATTTTTTTTGTATTCTGAGAATATTATTTTTGGTTTGCAAAATTCTTCAATATACCGGGTGTTAGTTAATATTCTATGTTTATTTCATTTAATTAATGTATGATATACTGAGCTAAGATTGTCGGTATCCGATGTGACATTCATAGCATTGTTATGTTTTTTAATCTGTATCATTTCATGGACTCTTCTCTTATTATAATTACTCTCGTTAATCAGTATTTTCGTGTTATCAAAATCAAAATTATGCAACTTCTGTTGTGCATGCTGTGCTAATGCTGTACCATTTTCGTTATTTCTTAGGCTATACTTATGTTCGTATATTATTTTCTTTAGATATTGTTCTGTTTGACCTATGTATGTGTTATCACAATTCAAACAGTCTATTTTGTAAATTACATTAGGCGTCTCTAACTTGTCAATCCTAGGTTTAAATTTTGTGAAACATTCATTTGCTAAGGTGTTTTTAATGAATTATTACTTGCTAAATAAAATAAAACGACCTCTGTGCGCCGTTGAGCTATCAAGCAACGACTGTGTTGCTCTATGAGTATTAAATACAGCTTTCCACTATGAATTACTGATTATCTTCCATTTTCTTACTTTGATTGGATATGCAAAGACCGCAGATCTTTTCCTGATCAGCCGTAAAATTAGGTGGCGCTCAAACGGACTGATACGTGCGGTACTATACCTATAAAAAATTGTAGAAATATTCCCGTATTGTAAAAGAAAGTGTCCCAATCCGCGTGAATTTTTTTTCAAGGTTTCAAATATGCGGCAAGGCCCCAGTTCGTTTTATGACCCAATATCAGCGGGAAGTTCACGCAGATCCAGCCAACTTTCAACTGCAACCACTGGCGGCCAGTGTCTTTTTCCTCCAGCTTCTTCTCATCGGTTTCCGGGGCCAACTCAACGACCACCAGGATACTCACCTTCGTGCAATTTAATAACGCAGGTAATATTTGCAGAAAATCCTACCTCACTATAAATTCACTAGTGTAATAATCCGCACTACCAAAAATAGTCATACAGAAAATGTATGAATTTTAGAATAAAAAATTACCTCACACATCTTTTTTTCATTTAGAATCAGTCAGTCAATCTGCATCAACTGAATAACCATTCCGTGACATGGGCGTCCACTACAAGCTCAGAAGGGCGGAGAGCGTCTGAGCCTAGTCGGCTTGGAATGGAACCGCGCGGCCCCGAATCAGGCCCCACCGCTCTAAGCCCGCTGCCGCTCAGAAGGGTTCAAAGCTCAACCGAACTGCACCCGAACCAAGCAGTGCAGCTGGACGAAGTAGGCGAAGGGGAAATGGTTGAGAACAAGCTGGTCCTCCCGGACGAAATGCTGATGTACTTAAACCAAGTCGCTGATCAACAGGTAAATTTGGTTTGTGACTGAGGGAGAACTTTTTAAGAGAGTTTGAAATCGCAGGTCCCGAACTGGTCGGAACCGGCGGCTGAGCCATCCAACGCCTTTGCTTGTCAAGTGAACAACTTCACCAAAGCGCAGTCGCCGCCCGCAGCTCAAATGCCGCAGATGATGTTGCCTCAAATGCAGACGCCTCTGTCGCCCAGAAACCAAGTGATGCCCGCCTCCGGTTACCAAAACATGACGTCGCCGAGTCAGCAAATGATTGCTTCTCCTGCTAGCCAAATAATGCCAAGCCCTGCGGGTAATCTGGAGCATATCAGATCTCCTGTGCCCCAGATGATTCCCTCTCCTGGTCAAGCTGCCAACTATAACGTAAGAGGACTGGAGGACGATTTTACAGGGCAATTTATTTAATCGAAGTGTTTTGTTGCAGTTTATCGGCTCTCCTGGCTCGATCTACAACGAAATGCAATATAATGCGTTGTCTCCGGCCACCGGGAATATGGCATCTTCCGCTTCGGTTTATGGCCAAATGGTAGCTTCTCCGATGTCCGCCCGATGTCCACCACAGCATATTGTTTCGCCTTGCTCAACGCAGCCAATGCCGCAGCAACAAGCTCAAGGCAGGTGGATTACATCTACTCAAACTGCCCAATATTTTGAGTATAGATCCGCTTACATGTTCAAAAAGGATGTGGCGTTTTATGATACAATTTCCGAATGTGATGCTCGATTTCCCATATTTGGTGGCGGAAGGGCTTTTGTAAATCAAATTGAAGCATTATGTTAAAATAAATTGACTAATACAAGTTGATTCAAAATGTTCGTCAATCCTATGAGGGTGTTGTATGGGAGCACAGAAAAAGGTTACGAAATTAATTGTTATTAAAAACTGAGAAATTTGCAAAAAACTATATCAGAAAGGCGGCAACAATGTTTTTCAATGCATATTAGACAATTGATAACGAATGTCAATATTGTCAACGAGATATTGTTCTTGGTCCGCGAGTTCAACTACCGATGGTGGCGCTGCGAAGCGTCAAATTACTCGTTGTCGAGTGACAGTTGAGACTTGTCAGACTTGTTTATTAGAGTTGACGACATTTATAACATAAAACAATACTTAGACACTTCGATCTGCTTCCATTTCATTAAAAGCTAAATTAAATTTGATAAGAACAAAACAAAACAAGTCACGATTAGATGTAAACATCAATGTGACACTAATGTCAACAAAACAAGTATCAAATTACTTGTATGTATCAATTACTTATAGTAAATTACTTAAAGTATCAATTACCTTGTAGTTATAATTTTAGCCACTAGGGGGCGTTTGTACTTTTAAAATCGCTGATTATTATCACAGCCTCGACGATGTGTTTATACTTATTCTAAAACTAAAACGGTTGCACGTCATCAACCGTCAAACTGACCCTGTTGCCAAGTTGTCACAAAAATCTTTTGTTTTTGATAAGGGATTATTGAATTGGTTTTAGATCAATAATAATCGCTTAATTTTCAACCATGGAAATGTAAGGTATTGGTTAAGTATAGGTAATAAAATAAAAAAATAAAATTTATTGATCAATCACACAAAAACATTGAATATAAAATTTAAATATTACATTATCATTGTTCGTTTATAATCTTGAACGAGAGTGAAATATCATTATCATCCACATTAAATTCAAATAAAAATTAACTCCTGGGTTTCCTCCTCATTTATTAATTTATGGCATACATTTTAAATGTACATTTTAAATGTATGCCAAGGCTTAAACCAGCAACAACGCTACACGTAAAAACTGATGATGGTGGAAAAATACACCGAAACGTATTTAAATTGATAAATAAACACAATAAATGACTGAAACCCAGGAATTAATTTTGATTTGGAATTGAAACGCAGTCAGGAAAATATATAAAATCCACATTAATTACAATTGGAAGAATTTCTTGCCGATCAAATAAATGTTCTCGCTTATACACGTTACCTCAGACACAATGTTTGTTTAAAAAAACAGGTTTAGATCACTTTTGAAGACTTTAAAAGACTCAAAAACTAATCGATAATTCTAACGTCAACAAATCAGTAATTACTGTTTTGGCAGGTTGTTTGATTTATCGAATAGTGTTTGGTTTGGTTAGTTTGTCAGAATAAATGCTGAATATTTCACTCTCACAAAAGATTTTCATGACAACTTGTCAACAGGGTCAGTTGCCGGTTGATGACGTGCAACGGTTGTAGTTTTAGATTTAAGTATAAAAGTATGCAAATAAACATACATTTCTGTCTTTAATTCTAAATAAGTTAGTGCCTCATTGCGCACTCTTCTCGAGCAGCTGTTCAAGTTGTACTTGTGTTCAGTAAACCATTGGTTCAATGTGACTTTGCGTTCTGTGTATCTTACATACGTAGTAGTAATGTATATTTTTTTAAACGTTAATTTTCTTATTTTCACTTTGCAGGAATAGCAGGGTCTCATCAAGGCGGTGCCTTACAACAGATGGCAAAGAACTGTCATCAGCAGACTGCGCAGACTAATATGGTGCCTCAGCTACGACAAGAACCGAACTTCAACGGCAAGAATACGAGGTAAATGTTGCTTTATTTTATGGTTTCTAAATTTGCTTCTTGGGGGATATCGTTCTAGTACAAGCAACATTTCTAAGAGCAACGAATAAAACTTGCACCGAAAAATTGAATGATTACTAGGAAAAATGCGATTTTTTTCATTTTTTCCTATAAAGTGCGAAATACTGGTCGCTTTCCTGGGTAAAACCGTACAACTTTGCCCGCTAAAATTTGTTCTTCGGAATGGATATTTTATAATACTGGACACAAATTCGTTCTAAGGTGTACACAAAGGACGCAAATTTATATCTTTAAGTTTAGTGGAAAACGCAATTATTTAAAAATATTTTGAAATGTAAAAGAACACCTCTAGTCTTACATTATTAGTCTAGAGATGAGCTAAAACGTGATTTTCAAATCCCAGTTATAACTGTGAACGTGATTTTACAGCCCCAAACAGTTACCAAACAGTGAAAATATAAGTAACTCTAATTAATACACAAAAACAACATAAAGTTTTCTTAAAACATAAATAAAAAACAGGTTTCTGTAGCCGCAAAAAATCGGCTTTGGCCTTTTTGAGTACCCTGCACTATCACGGTGATGAAAATTTTTGAAATCCTATCTTTCAAATATAGTCCTCAGTGTCTACTTCTATGGCCGTTCTAATGAAATATGTCAATGTTTTTTCGTTGGGAACTGCATTTTTTGGAGAGTTTTCTTGAAAACTACTCTCGTTACAACTATTTCACTTTTCTGCATGATTGCTGTTGCTCTCTTCATCTAACCATCTTTGATGTCTAGACAAATTCCACAACCCCCCAAAGCTTATTCGGGAATGAATAATTGGTGTGGAAACAACCAGAATTCGGGATACGAAGCTCCGCAGTGCCAAAACCCAATGCAGATGGGATATCCGACCAATGATTATTCGCAGCAGTACAGCGTTAACAGGCAGCAACTGTCTCAAACTCACCCAACAATCAACAATTATCAAGGGGTAAGTTTTTGGTTTGGAAAAATATTTCACTTTGATCCATGAAAACTGGCCAACCTATAAGCTTATAATCTAATAGTTTAGTCTCAATCTTCCGTGGCGTCTTAACTGAATAACCCTGTATAAATCAAGGATTACCCTTTTGAAAAAATATGAATAGTGTGCACAATCTCATCCAAAATAGGGCAAATATTCAGTTGCGAACAAATGCGCGATTACATTTATTCATCTTAACTCAATTCACTACCGTCAGGTTGTAGCGAAATTCGTGAAATTAAAATTTGTCTGATTTGTTTCAGGTGCAAACAGCGCTTCCGTCTCCTTCCGCCGGAGCTCCTGCGCCTACCGGCTACGGGGAGGCGCCTGTTATGCGTCCAGAAACTTACCAGCGCACATTAGAATACGTACAATCTTGTCAGAGCTGGAACGCCTCCTCCAACGATCAACCTCCCAATTCCAATATGGTGGTAGGCGACATGACCTCCTCGTTAAGTTCACTATTGGAGGAAAACAGATATCTCCAAATGATCCAATAAGGTCATTTATTTTAGTGAATTACGTATAGTTTTTGAAGCGTTTTATTGTTGTAACGTGAAAGGCGATGATTTCACATTACAGTGTAAATATGTGCACTGGACGAGTGAAACATGTACAGACTCATTTTATTTCAGAAACCGTCTATCTTAGTTCGAAGTTGTTGCTAATTTAAGTTTTTCAGTTAGCTCAGGAAGGAGTTTGCATAGCAGCATAATTTTCACTCAAGAAGCAAATAATTGCTTCTTGAAATTCATCATAATTAATAAATCAAGTTATAGAGATCAATCAGGAATGTAATTTTCCATTTAGATGATGAAACTAAATTTGAGCATCTTGTAAAGTGAAAAATACTTTGCAAGTTGACAATGTTTGCATCAAATCTGTTAATTTTTGTTAACGTTTTGTTGGATTAACGTCAATATTAACTAGCAGTAGATTAAATAACCGTGCAGGGAAATGCTGAAAAATGTTTAGTGCATAAGATAAATTGTTATTGTTAACTTTCATGCATTGTAATGTTTCGTTCGAATATTCCAAGCGGATTTCGAGTTTTATTAACGCAGTTAATTTACGTAATTTTAAAGATCCAGTAATTCGCAAACTGAACGTTGTGTTTAGTGTGCCAATCACTAAAGTCTGGGTTTGGGAAAAAAATGAACTATTATTGACGGTTTTACATGATTTTTTAATATCGATCTCGATGTAATCGTCGCCTTTCTTCTTAGATGATTGATATTATGTACATGTGATATTTTTTTTGTTTGCATATAATATTTATGTAGCAATAATATGTTTATTGAGATAGTTTTATAAAGTTTGTAAAGTACACTTTCAATTAGGATTTGTAAAGATTTTATAATAAAACACACAGATTTATCTATTTCCTGGCCTTTTAGTTGGGGTGATGAAAACAACTCGCTGTAAATATAACGTTTTATTTATCAACAATATTCTGCACACAGGATTATTTTCCACAGTTGCCTTTCGCCTTTATACAGTGTTAGTTTTATGGGTTTGTGCATAAGTGTTAAATGTGCGGGAAAATCTCCATTGGATGATGACTATGGATGATTTAACATTTCAAAGTATTTTTCTGCAAATACTTGCAAAGTCGACAGATCGACATTTGAGCGATAGTTTAACAATATAAGTACGAAAACCTTTCTTTGTCTCTCACTGTCAAACTTTCTGAAGCATTCGCAGCATCTGCATTTATTTGAATCAACCTTCAGTTTTTTTAAATTCGGTTGATAATTTGAATATTTTTGTGCGCAACAAACCTTCCTTTTTTAAAATTATTTCAACTTTAACTAATGGCTTGTATTTACATACATATATAAAACTTTTTTATATTCCGTAAAAATATATTACCAACGATTTCACGTATAATAAAAAAATCAGTACAGTTTTGGCCAGAAATTTAGCGAGCAGTTTAAAGACATAAAATCACCTGTTAAGAGGTAACAGTGACCTAATGGCTCATTCAGACCAACGCTGTAGCGACAACATGGTTTATATTAAATTTGCGTTAAAGAGCACCAGTGTTAAAGCATATTTTGTCATTTGAACGTATATATTCACTAAGCCTTCTTATGTACATAATTTTTCTTTACACTCCTGGTTTAATTTTCAAGCTTTTTTGTATCTTGAATTTTTTTGTAAGTGTCACTGTGTTAGAAATAACTACAAAACAACAAATTAACGCAGGACAATCAGTTTAAAAATTGAACGCCTTGTAGATGCGCTTTTAGATGGCATGTTAAAATATGCAGCGGAAATTGCATGCAGTAAAACCCCTGTCTATTAAAGATATTCATCGAATAACTTCCACTTTCCTTTTATTTTTTAACTTCTTTTTATACCTTTTCCAACTACTACGCAATATAATAAATTCGGATGGAGAAAAATGACAGAACTTTTGATTATTTTAAGACAGACACTCATTGTCCAAGTTTTTTTCTGAAATAATTCCTGTCCAACGCCCACACTTGATCCACATTGAAAAAGTCTACTAAGAAGTGGATCTGGTACAGGTCCCAGTGATTGCGCATGTCTGCCGAGACGGTGATGCCGGATTGCTGAGTCCACTCTCTCTAATTGGCGACAGTGCCGGAGTTTTGGGGCGATGCACCACACTGCGCCGTCTCCGTCGGGTAGATGGACGTCGTCCGCATCTCTGCTGTTGCTGTTGCAACAGTGTTAAGGCATTGGCTAGCTCCATTTCACTCAACAACCTTCTAGAATAGAATAGAAGATTTACAAAAACCAACAAAGAATATGTAGAATAATTGTGGTACCTTCTAGGGGGAGCAGCCAAAGACGGCAAAGTGTTGGCTCTGCGCGATACTTCCGGATAACATGGTACCGGAACCAGGTTGCTCACAGTCTGAATAGGGACGGGAGGGTTGTGGGTACCGTCGCTTCGCGGTACCACTTGATTAGCCTTCGGAAGTTGTCCGGAGTTGGTCTGGGATTGGGACTGGTTCCGTCTCTTCTGTTGGCCTAAATTACCTGGACAGATTTAGAAAGAAGGTGAGATGAGGTGAATTTACCAAATGTACTGTTCAGATCACGTACATGTACTAGTTAGGAACAGTTATAACATATTTTTAACTTTCCTAGTTTTATTCCAAATCAAAATTAATTCCTGGGTTTCAGTCATTTATTGTCTCTATTTATCAATTAAAATACATACGTATATGAAATTCATAGCATTGTTATGTGTCAGATCGGATACCGACAATCTTAGCTTAGTATATCATACATTAATTAAATGAAATAAACAGAATATTAACTAACACCCAGTATATTGAAGAATTTTGCAAACCAAAATTAATATTCTCAGAATAAAAAGAAAAATAGCGGAAAGTAAAAGAAATCAATATAAACAATATTTCGCTTTGTGTCCAAAATGGACAAAATTAATACTTCAAATGTATGCCAAGGCTTAAAGCAGCAACAATGCCACACATGTAAGTAAAAATATTTAAGTATCTGAACAAAGAATTCTAGTCTTCCCAAATTTGATTGTCCTGACTAATCACCTGTTAGGCCTAATTAATTAATTAAAGTGTTGCAATTGTGATGTATTTTAGTGTGTGATATGATGAGGCTGTTGACGAACAGTAATTGTTTTTTAAATTAATGAAATTTTTTTTTTAACTATCTGTTATTTTAGAAAAACTCATGATGGTGGAAAAATACACCGAAACGTATTTTAATTGATAAATAGAGACAATAAATGACTGAAACACAGAAATTAATTTTGATTTGGAGTTAAAACACAGTCAGGAAAGTATGTACCTAGTTTTATTGAATAATAATTGTACATGAAAGGAAAACAGATTGATCGTGGAGTTCAAATTTGGCGGGCGAATAATAATTGATAATTTTATTGTGCCCTATTGGCAACCATGGCATCGAATCCATTCGGGTGTGTAATGGCGAATGGGCAACAATCAGCGTAAGTTGCTCCGTTCAAATGTCCACATTTCTGAAAATTTGTCTTTATCCAGAAAAATGCGGCTCATTTTCAGAAAACCAAAGTTTTTCTTCACGGTTTGGTCGTATTTTCCCGTCCCACAGTGTAAGTTTTGCCGAAAAAAACGCGATTTTTAAAGTCGAATAGTTTTTGACGTTTACTGCCAAAATGGCGTTGGAACTTCCCATGACCGGCTGCGCTTGTTTCAAGGTTTAAAAACATTCGGGCCTTTTTCCCGACGATTCGAGGATTTTATTCGGCTGCTAATGTTTCCACATTAGCAGGCGTATTTGGATACAGGAATGGGCGGCTTCATGGTGAGTACGATTTTTCGAAACTTTTATCCCTCAGCGGCTTTGAAAATGCACAACACGTTAAAATGGTGAACAAATACATTTCAAACCCAAACAACCATGTAAAATCTAACATGCAATTGGTAATAATAATGTTGCATCATAATTTTTGTCTATATTGTAAATTCATACAGTACAAATCTACGTATCTCCAGCCACAAATCGGTGTCCTTTAATGAGGTTCAAGAAACTAAATTGTTCGCGGATCGGTTGCTACTATACATATAAACTTATATTCAGGGTTATTCACGCTATACGGACGGCAGTTTGCGACTAAACCTTAAATAAGCCTTGTTCTATGGGCTAAACTGTCTGATTTTATAAAAGTACCGGGAGCACATTTTAAAAATATTTCTGTAAAATACAGGTTGTCCCAAAAGCCCTAAAAGTATCAAACTTGTGTTTTTTTTAAATGAAATACCCTATATCTTATTACATTTTTGGATTCTCCGAGCAAAATAAGTGTTCGTTTTAATAAGGTTTATAGTACCTGAATCTTAGGGGTTTTTAAATGATAATACTTTAGAATTATTTAAGTTATGTAAGCGTAATTTGTAGTGAAGTGTAACAAGAAATCATATTTTATATCCACAAATCAAGTAAGAACTTTTAGTGGCTATAACTTGATTACCAGGAAATGCMATTTTTAATTACCTACCTATCGAAKGGTACCTGCTAAGTTTTTGCCTTTTTACAAAATACGACAAATAATTGTTCTGTGCARCWTTTRGTGTTGTTTTATTTACGSTAATTAAGGTAAGATTGATAATTTTCCATTTCATCCGCGCCGTTTATCTCGCATATTGTTAACWTCAAACCCGACGCTCGCTTTATGATGGCCTCTTTTCTAACAGCTTTTCTTAGTGGATCTATTCTATTTTCTGCTATTATTAYATTTTCGCTTGCAATTGACTTCGGTCATTTTTTTACATTAACCATTTAATGCCGCTGATTTTATTAACTGGCATATGAGCTGATTCGATTAATCCAGTCTCAAATAATGGACATATTTTCAAAGGCCAATAAAACATTTAATTTTCTGCATTTTACCCTTAAAACTAAATTTACCTACAACGACCGTCGTTCCTTACAACCTTATCCAATCAGCTGGAAAATTATTACTAAAATATTTTAGTTATTATTATACTTAATACTTAATAAAATAGTTAATATACAGAGTGATTCAAAATTGGCGTCATTCCTCTGGAGGTGTTGTCTGACGCGACATAAGAGTACAGAAAAAATAGTAATAGAAATTAATTGTTATTAAAAACTGAGAAATTTCCACAAAACTATATCAGAAATATGGCAGCAATGTTTTTCAAGGTAATATGCCTAATTAACATTGCGCAAATACCTGTTGCTTCGTAACTATTAAAAACTCCGGTAACCATGGAATTATACAGAGTGACAATAAGATAGACAAGGATAAACGGTAAATTCAACAAGATTTATTGACTGCGCAACGTACTTTCGACGTGTCAACCTGTTCTCATAACCTGGAATGCTGCGGAGTTTGGTGTTTACATAAATAATCCATACAACACCAAACATTTAAATGGTTAACTGCAAACAAGCTGGTGCCTGTGTAATCTCCTTATCCACTCTTATCAAGCAGCTTCTCGTATTCAGTTAATTAACTCGTGCTCCATTTGTATCTCCTTGTGCTGTGTGTATCGTACAGACGTGGTAGGAATGTAGCCCTGTGCCTAGAACCCGAACATCTATCGTCCACTATCTTCCTGGAACCACTCTCCTCGCCCTTTGTTGGGGTGATTTCTTTCAGCTTCTGCTATGTTACTGTAGCATTTCCCCTGAACTAAGCGCATATCCGCAAATTCGTGAAAGGAAATTCAAAGTAAGTCACAGTTTGACAAATTATTATTTTTATTGACAAGAGTTATCCACCTGTAACTATCTGTTAATGACAGAAAACATCATTGCCGCTGTGATTTTTCATAAAAAAATTGTAGAAGGGAACTTTTTTGATATCAAAAATTTTCGTAATTTGAAGCAAAGATACTAATTTTTCTTTTTGAATGCTTAAGTATTTCAATATGCTACCAATTAAACATGGAACAATTTCTAAATAATGCTTAATAACATAGTTGAAATTTGATCTTCAACTGTTAATATCTTCTAGAAATTTTCGAAAAAAAATTTTTCAATATTTTTCTCATTCTCCCCAAGTGAGCCTCTATCACCCCTTAAAAGGAATGACGCCAATTTTGAATCACCCTGTATATTAACTTGCTAAAATGCACCTCAGAATCTGGCAAAATTAAATAAAGGATCATGGAAGAAATTCACAATTTTGTTTGCAAAATTTTTAATTTCTTATGTGACTTACCTAAAACTCTAAATAATAACCGCAGCTTGGCACTCGACCAGTATCCATGTGTTCGATGAGGTCTGCCTTCCAATGCCGGTGGAAGTTTTTTACTTTTTGCTTTGTGCTTGCAAAGGGACATTAAGCATCGGGGCTCTGGAGGGCTGTGGGGATCATCGGGACTGTCTGGAACGGAAACGCAACAGTTCCATTTCCGGCGCACCTTTTTTTTCGCTGGAACTTTAACCTCGGGGGACACCTAGAAGGCAAATGTTTCGATAGTTTACTGATTTTGTCTGGATTTCTGGATTTCTAATTGTGCCTTGAGAGTGATGGATGGAAGCTGGCAAGAGGAAGGGAGTGTGTGAAGAGTGCATCATTTTTCTTTTTCATTTTGCGATGATTTAAATATTCGAAATTGTTTGAAAAACTCAAAGGAATTTTCCGGATGTTGTAAAATTTCGTCCCTGATCACGTGCAAATGTTTTAAAATCGACCGCACTCCATTTCTGTTTCCCCAGAAAACACAGTTCAACCGAGTTGATCTAAAATTCAATCAAATTGCCCGTTTAAATTGATTTTATTTTATTCAATAAATAATTTCCCTTTACTACCGCTACCAAAATGAGTTTGTGTGGAATGCATCGCTACAAAGCGAATTCGAACGAACGTTTAAATGAAGGTTTTGCGCCAAAGTGCAACTAAATGCTGAACACTGTGCACCTTAGTTTCAAAGCAAATGTCATCAATGGGTTCCTAATTAGCAAACTGAAGACTTACAGAGTTGTTAGTCATCACGCACATTTGACAATCCTGTGGAGTTGTCGGGGGAGTTGGGGTAGGTTCAGGATTGCAGCCAGAAAAGGTTTCTTCCAACACTGTACAGCTGAAAAATGTGGTTCTGGTCCTGCTTTCACATTCCAGATTCGATGGCCTATCGATACCAGCATTCACGACACAAAATCTCCAATATTTCTCGTATTACTTACCGATGTCTTAAGGTGGAATTGTTGCTCTCATTTTCGAGCTGTTGTTCAGACGACTCATTTTCTCGGTTGGTAGAGGTAGGAGGCTGATCGCTGGTCTGCCGCTGATGTTTGATATACTCATAAGTGGTCAGTCCCAGATATGATATGTAAATGTGGAAGAAACACAAATGCAATAGAAGGCCAGCAGTTATGGCGGCCAAAGCACCCAGAGCTACTAAGATGGCGAGAAATGTGGCGTCAGGTGAAGGTAGAGAAGAAGGGTGCGATTGAGTAGGAGATGAAGAGTTCAGCTTTGTTCCAACTTCTCCCTGGTAGAAAAAAAGCTTTTGCAGTAACGTGACCGGGTTTTTCGTGCAGCGAATGGGCCGTAAAAATTCTCCAATAGTCTGTTTAGTTTTGAAGTGAACCAGCCCGAATATAAAACTGTTCCAAATAAGTATGATTGAAGCGTTTTCTGCTCTATATTAAATTTGAAGCTGATTCTCAATTTAAATTTCTTACTGTCTATTTTTTTGATTTTCAAATACCCAAAAACGGACGTTAAAATGATCATGAAATAAACCTGAATAACTGATATTTTTTAATGAATTTGAAGGTTTACATCTTACACAATTAATGGTCAGAATGACCGTTGGGAGCGCCTGAGGCCGAAAACGTGGAACTCGAAAAACATTTTGAATGTTTTCCTGAAAATTATATTATAGATTTTCTGCAAAAAATGCCAAGTTATTTGTCCCCGGGTTAATATTTCGTGGGTTTTCCGTATTCCTTGCAAATTTAAGCTGCAAAACTTCACCGAAACTAGACTAATAAGGTTCTTTTCATTAAATCCCGTGAAAGGTCAAGAAGGTAGTCAAGTCAGCATAAAGAAAGCCCAAGCTTTACAACTGGCTCAAAAGACACTAGTCGTGAATTAGGATGGCGTGCTGTTTGCACAAAGGTTGAAATAATGAAGTTAATTTAACGACGGGGACGTTTCCAGAAATTACTCATTGAATAGGCACTTGAATGCATGCACTTTGTTCAAATTGAATCATGTAAATCGAGTCAAAGCACTGGGATAAATTGTTTGCAAAAACCAATCAACAAAGTAGCAACTATTTTTCTGAAAATTATAAATTATCCATTAAGAAACAATTAAGTTAATACTCAGTAAGCAACACACACACAAACGCGCGCAATGTAACCGACTCCATGTTAAACAAGTTAACTGTAGTTTCCAAGCCGAAGTAACTTCAGTAATTCACCCCTGCAAAAAGCAATATAATTCTTCTGTTGAAATTCCCTGCGAAACAACTTTGACACTAAGTGAGCTAAAAGGAGTTTCGTCAAGTTTCAAACTGAAATAATCCGAGATGGGGGAACAAAGGCGGAAAAGCAGAAGAGCAATAAACGTTTCACAACGTGTTTATGACACTTTTGTCAAAGCTCTGCTTTCAAGTTGTTTTCACGGTGATGTTAGTTTTCGTTCAAAATGAACAAATCGGGTCAGTATATTGAGAAAATCCCTGGACAATTTTACTTCGAATGGATAGTCAGTCAGTTCCAATTTGCATTTGCCTAGCAGGAATTTTCCTGAGCATGCCATTCCTGATTTGTTTTCTCGAGGAATGGAATAAGTTCAAAGTTTAGCTAGGCGGTAAGAAAACTGCTTTTTCAGATTTAGATTCATGGCTTTAAGCAAGGTAGGTATAATTTTGTGACCGGAAAAGTGTCGAATGGGAAACGGTCGATCCCTAGGAAGATTATGAAAATTTGTAAAAAGTTGTTGCAAGCAGGTGTAGGATGAGAATAGATTTTTCTGGGCTGGAAGAAGTCTTCTATAATGTGAAAAAAATTATAGTAGCTGCTTAAGATTGATATGTGTAATTTTCAGTTACCTGCTTCCTCCGGTTAGAAAGTTTAAAAATTTTCACTGCAAACGCTCCTAGTGAGAAATAGTCGGTTTTCTGGGCAGATTTAAAAATTCGCAGATAAATTGTTTGGAATTGGAGATGGTCTTTTCAGGATTCCAGGATTTTTCGGTGTCATTTTTTAAGTAACTGCTTATGCCCGTTCTCAAGTTAACATTTTGGAACAAAAAACATGCTGAATGGAAAACAGTCAATTTTCTGGGCAGAAAATATATTTTGAACATTTACAAACAATCCGGCTGGAAAAAGTATGGAATGATATATTTAAGATTCAAGATTGAAGTGTTGTATATATTATGTAAATTTTTTCTGCTTTTAGTCTTTTAGTCTTTTGGCGTTTCCCAAAATTTATGAGGTACCTACTATTTTACCATGATTTATAGTTTCTTTCTAAACTGGGTAAAGCCTCCACTTATTTATTACCCACGATAATCTAAATTCACTTTTGAAATAAGAGATAAAGTATAGGATCACGTGGGAATCACACGCGCAAAATGTTCAGATGTTTCATGTAGCACATTAAACGACCACGTGGGATTTTGCTTTCGTGCTTATGTTACCACTTCGAAAGAATAAATAGATTCAATACATCTAGAATCGACTAGAGTACGTTTCAGTCAAGTCAATTTACAGTGATTGTTTGACAAAAAGCGGTTAGAAGTTAGTCAGTTCTCATGCATACACAATTTCGTAATTTCGGCGGAAATTCGACTTACTCAAAGTAATTAAACCCTGCCTCCAGCTCAGCGAGGAAACTAAAACAAATGCTCTTTGAGTTGTGAACGCACACTTCATTATTCTCCACATCGTTTTACCGCAAGAATGAAAGGCATTTTCCGACAGAAAAATCATGTTAGTGGCTGCAAAGCTGGGAATTACCAGCGTTTGTCGTCTGATTTATACATAACGGCGACATAACATTTTCACAACTGACAAATTAAAATCGGGATTTAATTCAGCCGGGGATTTATTCAGTGAAAATATCCGCGCTTTTTTATTAGGAAAGCTTTTTTATTGGAGCTGCATTGCGTATACTGCTTCCAGCTTCCAGCATCAGCATCAGCAGTATAACAATTTATTTTAAGTCCAGAATTTTCACATTCTAAAAATCGTGTTCACTAGCTCTTGCAGCTTTCCGGCTAGTTATAAAATCGCTCACCACTTAAAGCGTTATCTCTACAAACCGGGTTTATCGGCTGAGTGAAAGCTGTGGCAAAGGGGTGGAAGTTTAAGATTATGTGTATAAATAGCTCCAACCATCGGAAATTCGTTAATAGAGTTCAGGCTTTCCTGAAATAGTAGCTAATGAAAAATCTTTAATTAATCATTGTTGCAGATTAATTAACTAGTTGGCAAAATTCTGCAAACAACTCGCGAAAGTCGATGTGCCAGTTTGGCTCTCAAACGCTACTATCGCTCGAAATTCGCATTTATTACTGCTCCGTTTTCGCCGCACATTTGAACTAAACATTGCCTTCCAGTCAAGATTTACAGATATTTTATGTATGATCCTTGCCAGAAGTTCGGTATAAGTTTGAGGATTTATTTTCTCCCGTCGGTGGTTCTGGCACTAAATGGAAATATGCAAGAATGACGGAATGTTACCGATCTCCAGCCAAGGAATAAATGCGAATTTATTAGGGTGTAGGGAAATTTTGATCACATATTATTTACCTTATAAGTATGCGATTTCTACTTAATTACAGAAAAATGCCCAAAAGAATGGCGATATAAATATTGACGGGTACAATTTTCATTTTACAAAAAATATCAGAAAATCGTCTAAACGGAAGAACAAATGAGACTTTTATCAATGATATTTTATGATTAAAGTTTTTCAAAACTAGTTTTAGTTTGAACCAAAATTTATTCGACAGTATTTTTCTTATTGTAAACTCAAAAACTCTCTGGTGCATGTGCCCGAATTTTCCTGAAAAAATTCAGTTAAAAAGAATCGTTGCATTAATGGACTGGCTGCTAAGTAGAAATTAATGCACAATTGCAAGAAAATGAGTTGACTTTTGGTTTGGGTTCATAAGGCAAAAAATTAAAAATTTTTGCACTGAACGTAAAATCAATCCAACAAAGTTTGATTTCCTTCTCTGAGTAAATCAACTAATATTTTTCTGCAAACGACTAGAGCTTAGAATCAATAAAACGCGCTTGATACTGAACGTTTCCATCATTCCGCACATATTCGGAATGAAAAATGTGCCAGTAATCATCCAGAAACACCAGTCGCAGTCGGGCATGGATAAATGAGAATTGATGAGCTTAAAGCTGTGCTAATTCGACTAGATAATAAGACGAGACTACAACAGTCGATGTTGAGCGGCGGTTATAAATGTATTTAGGACAGGCACTAGCCGATAATCGACCGTTGTCGCCTGACAAGATTTCCAATAACCGCAGGCTCAAAGAACGGAAGCGGAACTGAAAAACACGGGCAACAGCAGGACAAAAGCCGACTGGCGTATTATCGAAATTGGACGCCCGTTATCTATCAACATTAACAATGTGTTGAGGTCGTCGACCGGAAAAGGTTTGGGTTTTTTACTCGATAAAAACCGAATGTGCATGCAATATGAATACCTTGGTATGGTCTTGGGGTGAGTCGACGCGCCCCAAGCAGTGGTAAATCAAGCTGGCTATTGCAAGGGCGGCCACAAGGGCGGCAGCCAAAACTGCACTGAAGACGCACATCAAAAATGCGGCGTAATTTCGACTTCCCACACAGTTGTTTAGCCACTTGCAATGGTGATCGAAGTTTGCCACGCACTTGTTGCAAGCGCTGCAAGAACAAATGTGTATCATACACCATTCAATTAGGAAAATCTACTAATTAAATGATTATTGGCAGAAAATTAAAACATTGTTTTTTGGGAAGTTGCTTAATCCCTGATAAACAAAAAAATATTAATAATTAACCGTTTTTTGTTTTGTATGCGCCATAAGCTCGCTACTGATTATGCCGAACCTCAATATTACCGCTACTAAAAAAACGACCAAAAACAAGTACGACTCATGTATAAAAATGCTATTTGAATTTGCATCTTATTTTGAAATATCCTGGACAAAAACAAAACATTTACTATTCCCTGTACTCCAGCTACTCCTCTTTGAAGTTTAAGTGATCGTTGTCGTTCAAACAGCTGTGAAACTGTTAGATCTAGTTCAAGAGGTTCGCGAAATAGCGCATTATTTTCCGCAAAGAATATCAGGAGCGCTTTCGAGATCTAGCTGATGTTTAATTCAAAGTGCTGTTGCCGCGAAGCGCAGCAAAGGCATTAAAGTGCTCGTTAGGTAATCATAAGGCTGTTTTATTTAGTGGATGCCCGCTTTGATTAAATGACATGGAAAAATTAAACAATTAAATTTTCAACAGTTAGATTGACTTGTCACACTTGTATAAGTATTTTTTTATTAGATGTCCGTGAACAGTGCTTTAAATCATGTCAACTTTTGCATTTGAATGTTTAATGGGCGATTGAAAGCGCAATTGGCAAAAAAGCAGCAATAAGCAATAGCTAGCAAATAAAGACCTAAAAAGTTCATAATTCGTTGAATTGATTGGTGAGTTATCAAACAGAATCTGTAAGCCCTTTATGTCTGATTTTTGGCATCAAATCCACTGTTATTCTTAAATAATGGCGCAGCATTAGAGCGACTCTACAGCCCGGAATTTAACTATATTAAAGCTGGTTATTTACCTGCAATGTTTAGTTCTGGAACTGGCAACTTTGATATTGCAAAGATGGCAAAACCCGTCCTCGATTACGTGAGCGTGCTTGACCCTGTCCAACTGGGGAACTGGCAATAAAGCCCTTTGCCGAAGAGCTTCCTCGGCCGGATCTATTAGAGCGGCTGCCAAGTGACTCGCAAGATGTATCTGAAAATGTAACAGTTTTACATGAGAACTTCATTCAGGGTTGACAAACTTTTTAATATCTGGCAATAAACTGGTTTTGGCAACGCCATGTTTTGCCATTATCTAGCTAAATATCGATGTACTATTTATTTATTTACATGTTCAATTACCTTATTTCTTTCTTAATTCTTCCAGAAACTATTTGTTTGACGTGTTTTTTATAATCCTTGTTCTGCATTTTTAGTATCTTTATGTTCAATTGCGCCTTAAGCTGGCCTTGTTACTGCTAATTAAGTTATCGCAACATATCTTTCATGCTGACTTGTTGCTTGAGAGTTTTCAATATTTCATTATACGCACTATTATTCTATAAATTTATATATTTAATTAAATATTTAGCATGTTTCATATTTTCCCGTTGTTTATTGTTCGTCTTTCCTACTTGAATTTCATTAGTCTGCGTCTTGCATGGTAATATTCAGCTGCTTTTTCTTCACATTTATTTACATTTTCGCCTCTTTTAATTTATGTAAAACCAAAGCAAATTTGGATATTTTTTGGCCGATAAATAAAAACTTGCAATGAACTAAAAATCTTTGACTCAATCTTTATAATAAAACTGTAACAGCACAGCACCTTTTTTGCAATTTTCTTTGCTCCAAAGTTAAATCTCTCGACATCCGGCTCTTAATCTGACCACAAATTAATAATTTTCCCTTCTAAATTTTAATCACGCAAAGCCGAAAATAGAAAAAAAGTATTTCCAACACTAAATTAAAGCATGTTTCGTTTTCCTATTTATAGTCAAAATATCGCGATTAAATGCAATGTGTATTCTCCTAATTGGGGCCAGTGAACCGGCCCTAAACACAACTTATACAAAGTAGATTTTAATTTGTCCCGCGAGCCAACTGGGACCCGGACAGGCCATCGTAAATTTTACTCATAAATTTTCTAATTTCACTAAAAGTTGCAACATTTGTGTGCATTCATGAGTCGATTGATTGTAAATTTTATGTGAACGGTGGATCATATGCGGGTAAGTTATGTTTGGAATTCACCACAAACCGTGCGGGTCGAGAAGTAGTGTAAAATTAATTAATTAATAGAGAATTAGTAGGAAAAAATAATAGCACATAAATACAGGGCGTTGTTGCACGCATGGAAGCTTTTAATGGCAAAAACTCTTCATCCGGGCGGAAAGTTTAACTTTTTGCTCTCAAATTAAAACGTCCTTCCCATTTAATTTGCGGCGAGTGATGATAAACATTTTTATTCCGAATTCGCACGTAATGGGCTTGTAGTTGAGCTCAAAGGATTGAAATGTGTAATTTCTTCATAATTACGCAACTCCCATGTTGATTGTGTGGCATCCGAAATGACATCAATTCCGACATTTAAATGAGTACGCTTGTAGATGACATTAATATAATTCACACGATTCGACCTTTGCGACCACAATGCGCGTTAATATTAGTTTCTTTCACATATGGTTTCCCTTATCGATGGCTTCGATAATTAAAACCGAGCCCAACATAGGTAGGTTGGGCAATTTTGGGATAAAATTGCCGGAAAACGCCCTTCAATATTCCTAGTTTCAGTGAATAAAGTAGGTACTACGCGTCTGCAGCTGAAGGCAAAGAGTAGACTTAAGGGTCTTAATTCTCCTACTAATCAGGCTTCTGGGTCAAGTTGAATTTTAATTGGATTTTTTGGGTTTAAATGTACAATTGGCTGGATGAATTTAGCGAAAATTGTTCGTTTGGTTGGGATAAAGTTGGCAATATTAGCATTCGATTTGAGTCTTTTGCTTCAACATTTAGGATTTTTTACAAGACACTTGACGTATTTACATGACTTTCTACTGTCGATTCAATGGTTTTCATATTGTGTTTTTGGCTCAAAATTTCGGACTTTTGAGGCAAAATACGCAGTAAGAAACAGTACCCAAAAACTGCCTCTACCAGACCATAAGTAAAATAAACTATACAACAAATCAACGTAAAAGTTAATGTTTTGTTATAGTTTCTCAAGCCTTTGGCAGTTTCAATAGAAATACTATCTCATTATTTTTTTACTAAAGATTGTAGACCATTTTTAAGAATTATATTTTATTCATTACTTACTAATAAAAGGACGGAAACTGTGGCGGCAGCGGCGGGCTGAGCGTAATTCGGTAGTGCTGGAACGAGATAGAACAATGCACCGCCAGCCAATGCGCAAAGTGTGAGCCAGCCACACAACTGGAGTGGATGTAATGGAGGCTGAAGACCGTGCTGTCTGCGCAGCCTCACAGACCTGGAAGAAAATGTACCGTCGAAATTTTCGAACTTTTTAACGATTCTTTCAAGAATTTTGAGTATCGGGTTTTGCACTTGTTTGCCGGTTTGATTATTCCAATTTTCGTACAATTTTCAGACTAAATTATTTATCAGTTTTCGCAAAATGCAAAGAAATAGAAGGTCAAAGTTGGTGTCTTAATATGTATCTGATTGAGAACATATGGACTTAGATTTTCTCGTTCTATTTTCTTAACTCTTTGTGATCCAGGACAAAATTCGTCGTCAATCTACGGGAGCAAATGAGAAGAATTTATTTTTCCCAACTTCCCTAATTCATCTTCGATTCATCCTTCTTCTAGGAAGATCTTTCATGCTCTTACTGCTAATGCTATACAACGTTTATCTTTACCTTCAAGTTAGTTCACAGAGTGGTCTACAACGAGAAAGGGCAGATCTTCTTCCGGTAAGAATAAAACATTAGATGAACCTTCAGATCTTAGAGCCTTGAACTTGACCAGAAAAGTGAGTTGCGAAAATAGTGGCAAAAAGTTAAGGTCATTACAGTGCGGCAAAAAAAATTCTGTGCAACTTACCCAGACCTGCGCAGCCGGCCGCCAACGGGCGGCTCAAGGGCGACTCTGGTCGCCTCGGTAGGCGGAATCATCGTGGAGACGGGCGGCCATGGCGGTGCATGGGGGCGGCATCCGGACGGCGTCGCGATCACGTGTACACTGGCGTGCAAGCGGACGCCGCGGCGCTGGGCATGTTTTATCGATCGCCATCCTCGGAAGGAAAACAAAGGCGTAGGTGGGTGATGGTCATCTTCACAGGGGCGGGCATCCAAAAGTATACGGCTATGTTTTCAATTGCCCCGTGCATGAAATCTGAATTTCACTACATCATTATTGTTCTCTTAACCTTTGAAAATTGTGGAATTTCCCAGATTGCAATAAAATGTCTAGCCATGGCAAACATGTTTATTTATTACTCCCAGAAGTACATAAACAGTGATTAATTAGTGGGCGCAACTAAGCAGACTGACGGGCATTTTTTGGTTCATGGACGAATATCAATCTATGAAAGTCGCAAATTATAATCAATAACCAGATGATCAGTTCAAACAACTAAAACATTTTTACAAAAACCCTACACCTAGAAGTTAAATAACTTTACGTCCGCTTCAACTATGCATAAACTATTTTCCTAAATTGAATAATAATTTAGGAAATGTTATCAACGAATTCCGGTAGAGCAAGTGGCAATTTGAGCACAACAATAAACAAACCGCCATCTGGATGGTGCGATGTTGTGCAAACTTGCTGTTTAAACCAATAAAAATACTTTGCGATAACACGTTTGAGTGGAAAGTTACAGCAAAAAAGTAGCACATCAATGGGGAAATTTTGCAATCAATTGCTGATTATTGAAAATAATTGTATATGTAGTTGTAAATGTTTTAGATCTTAGTAGAACGGATTTTTGAAGATTTACGTCAAATCAGTCGCACATTGTTGGCTAGTTTTTACTGCATTTTGATGTTCTACCCAATTCACGTGCTGTATTTTCATTTAAATCATCCAGAATGTTTCATAGTAATAATCTATAAAACTCCTTTAAGTTGAGTTGAGACTGAAATATTTTATAGCTTTGCTTTTTTGCAATTTTTCAAATATTTTATAATATCTTATAAAAAGTTCAAATTTCAACTCTGTTTCAGTTTTGGAGACCTGTTAAGCCCACAAGGCCTGCTCGAGTTTTATGTAAGTATATTGAAGATTTGTACTGTTTTTAAAGTTTTCAAGTAAATGAAAGGTTTTTCTTTGAATTGGTTCAATAATTTTTTTTTAGTAATTCAGTTTACTTCAAATCAAATTTTATTCCGCTGTAAATTTGACCGAAATTCAATTTCAATTAATTCCAACTTTGAAAAGTGAAAATGAATGTAATAAAAATGAGCAGTAGATTAATAGATCAGTGATGTTCAGATATGATTTTTGTTTTCCGGAAAGAAACACAAGTTAGGCGTAGGAAATAAATCGTCCGAACTTTTACGACAACTTTTTAACAAATAATAAAATCAAGTGAGAAGGTTTTTTGAGATTGAGATCGATCAACAGCAATTAATCGGTCTCAAAAGTGGTTCACTTTTTTTTATTTTCAAACCACAAAAGCTCTTTCCCTACAGATAAATTGATGGTTCGATAAGTAAATTTTGAAAATTATTAGACAAAAAATAAAATGCAAAAACTTTTCCTAGTTTGGATACAGTTTGGAAATAAAATTGAAGAATTGTATTTAAGAAAAATCTTCACTAATTAGTATAATTTAGTGTTTTGTCTAGTAACATAAAGTAAAGAGAAGCGATTAATTTTTGTTAAGCAGCATTATTATTATTTTAACTAATTGAGCATTAGCAAGAGGAAGATTTCTCTATAGCGCGTGCATAAGACACAAGAATCTGAAGTCCTTGTTATTTTTCTGATGTCCGCAATTTAAATTTTCTCATTCAGTTTCGTTTATATTCTTAAAAATTGATCTTGCAGAGCAGGGTTATCTTTATGAGACAATTTGGAATTTAGTCATCTCCAGTAGTCCAGAGGCATCCAAACAAACAGTAATCAATGAACTTCATGTTCAAATGAACTGCCCCAATAGCTAGTTTTTGTTAATGTTGCGAAATATTTCAGTTCATCACTTTATTTACTGAGGTGATTATTTATGTTTAATTCTATAAATCATTGAAAACAAGGTAATATTCCTGAAAACGCTCACAAATATTCATTAATGTCAAATGCAAAAGCTGATTCTGGATATAAAGACCTGAAGCAAAAAGCTCGAGTTAGAAATTTCAGGAAACAGATGGTTCAGCATTTGAACACCCGCCCGTTTAAAACGTGCACTTTTTACCCAAAAATCGCATCAATTTCCAAGAACTATGATTCGCATTTATGGCTGTCACATATATGTGAAAGTATAAATTTATTTGTAACAGTAGGAAAAGTTGACATTATAACTCAAAATCCAGCTTGATAACACTTAAATTGATTATGAAAACACTGAGACTGACCGCGTATATAAAGATGGCTGATTCGTTTGCTACCTAAGTTCTTCATATGAGCTAGAAAAAGTTAATAAAATATTGTGACTGATTCGAAATCGGCAAATTCCGTTAGGATCGACGTGCGAAAGCTTTTCCTCCGCAAAGACGCATATCGGTGGGGGGTTATCCGGACATTATAAATACAAATCATTTATCGGCGAAAATTTAATATAACACCTCTTATATGATTCGTTGTTTCTTATCAAACACTCCTCCTCAGTACTAGCGGCTCGAAATCAACGCTTTCTCGAACCTATAAAGCGATCGAACTTTGGGATTTGTTAACCAAAAGGAGGGATTATAAAGGCAAGGTAGATTGTCGAGTGAGGAAATTAACTGAACAAAAAACTCAGAGGAAATCGCAACTAAAATAATTTAAAACATCCCTGATGAATTTAGTGGTGTTAATAATCGTGTTTTCGATTGGAAACATTCGCGAAACTTTTGCAAGAAGTGTCGTGGTGTCCAGTGCTATAGGAGTTCAAGATTCCGAAGCTGCAGACGCCAGAATAAGCCAAAACGACCAGAAGCAGATTAGTGGAAATTATATTTCCTATTTGGTAAGTAAAAGACCGTGTTATGAACTATTCATGCAACGTCCTAAATATCCAAAGTCCAAAAGCTTGAATGTGTAATTCTGACTAATCTTGATATTTTCGACATTTTAAAAATTATTTTAATTAGTCATCACGATTCACCAGCTCTTATTTAAAAATTTTCAATTAAATTTTATGAGTGCCCAAACCGTAGATAGTCGCAACTTTTTTAAGACTTTTTTTTAAACAACAATTTTACCCTTGTTTCAACCATAGCTCGGCAGGAAACATTTTTTTATTTGAATTTTAATTGAACAGAAAACAGGAGAACCAAAGGTATTCTACAATACGTCTAAAATGTACTATGCCAATCTCAAGACGTGCAATTCAATTTAATTAGTTACCTCTTGCTTCTAGATTAAGATTATTCATATTTTTCGTGCTACTCTTTAGTGTTTCTCTTCATCCAACCAATTTTTGATAAAGCTGTATTCGCAAAAAAACGTTTTGATTAAAAACCCAATAAGCAAATGAGTAAATTTGGGTTATTAATAAAACTTCTCTTCTAGCTTCTCAATGCCTTCCATTTTGGTGTGGTTGATTTTTTAAAAAATTTAGTACAAAAGTGCAACAAACTAAAGTCAAATACTTTTCAAGGCAATGGCCAAAGTAATAAATTTGACAATCATTGCTAAGATACATTTTCTCTCGCAACTAGGTTGGTAGTTCTTGGCGAATTTTAGGTCAATGCCGACTTGTTACGATTAAATGCTATACTTTATCATCCGGCTTTAAATCACTCTGGTTTATCTAATAACCTGACATTCAATGATCGTTGAAAGGAAAGTGTTTCTTAATAAATTTATCCAACTATATAGTTGCACTTATTTGAAATATTGTCAAGCTGTCTGCAAAAATCCGCCAATTCCGGACTTGAAATTGTTTTTTTTTGAAGATGTGAAGACAATTTGGGTGGTCGATTTGTTAATTGTTATAAATACTTAACCCTTGACAAAGTTGACGAAAGCAATGCGGCTAATGACTGGATCAGTTCGGAGGATCAATGTAAACATCTCAATAAAGCATTGATAAGATTTGGTAAAAGGTGTCAAACATTGATAAGTGCATAAACAACAGCATAATTTCCTAAATAATGTCCTCATAATTATTGCTATTTATATACCACTATTTTGCGTTTTATCCTTATTGGCATTGGTCTGCACGGACGCAGTACAAACTTTCGTACTTTTTAAAAATGGACGTTATTTAATTAAAAAGATTGTATTTCTGGACAAAGATCATTTTCTTGAATGTAAATTGTGTGATTATTAATTATGCGTTAACGTAACTACCACGCACAGCGCGCTAAAATAATACTTTCGGTAACCAAATAAATGCGATAAAGTGTTTAAAACGTTTGTAAATGAGTATAAAGTCACATGAATGACCTGAAAACTACGATTTAGCAAGTAGTTATTTTCAACATTCAAAAATAACTTGAAAATACTGCATGCATAAAAAATATTTATTGTTTGATGTAGGTGCAGCCAGTATATAGTATTAATTCCAGTTCAACTTGAATTGATTTCTAGTTACTTAATTGAACAATCTCATTAAATTGAATGTAAATGTACTGAATGTCCCCGATTAGATAAGTCCAGATATTCGAATAGCGTCCAGCAGTCTATAAATTTGTAATCGGTGTTTATCGTAAAGGTTTTTTGTTTAATTTAACGTAGCAGATGACCTTTTCACATGATTTATGAAATGTGCGAGATATACCAGGGAAAATTTTTATATAGGTTCGAAGACATTCTCTGTTAGTATGTATATAGTTTTTATAATTTATTGTCTTTGCATGACAATTAACTGATTGCAAACAAATATTGCGCTGATTTATTGTTTTCTTGCTGATTGGCCACTATCGGCTAGTGTTTTGTAATTGAAATCGTTGTGACGGTTAAAAAATATCAGAAAACATAAATTATACAAGATGATTGTTTCCGATCCTTTGACGCTTAAGGCCACATGATATCTGAATGCTCTGTTGTGCCTTTATCTGGAATTGTCTAATAGTGCTGATTCTAGCTTGACAGCTAAAGCAAAGCTATTTTCACCCACATCGTATATGGCAAAATCAGGCGATAGTGGGTTCATAAATGGAACGAAATCGCAATTATTCCCAGAACCGTCAACAAGAACGTTAAATTTATTGTTTCTGACAACGTGTTGGTTCTGGCAAGCGAAATAATAGTTCCTCAGAAGGTTAACCCAAAGTTTAGCCTCTTCTTATCTGTTGAACAAAACATTGCTCAACGATGGCCGACAACGGGTTTAATATTGGGGATGACTTCATCAGATCTTCTAATAAATCACGTAGGTTTTCACATTTTAGTGAAATAAATTAGATTGATTATGCCACACTTTTGGTGCTTGGCAATTGATTTTAAAGTCGAAGATCAACAATGATTTATCACTTCGACTAATTTTTTGCCTCCGTTGTCCTGTTTTACAATTCTATCTGGTTATTAGACCACTTATTCAGTTTACTACTTCTCTTCCTTTTACTCTTTGTATTACCTATAGTTTTTTGCTCACGCTTCGAAACTCTCTTGGTTTGAGTTCTTACTGACATTTCCAAAAAAAGTGTTTTCTGGAATCTTTTCTGAATATTAAAATTCTTCATCGTCATGAAGTCGTAGATTCTTCTTCATACATGGACTTGACTCTTTTGTTTTTATGCAGAATGTGGCATTTTTCACTCAGAATTTTTTCAATATTCATTGTGAAAAAAAGAGGCCGATGAAGGCATTATTTATTGATCCGGCCTAAATATCAATGTGATAAATGATGACCAAACACCAGTAAAAACAAAAATGATACAATAAAATGTAGGTACCAACCGGACTAAAATCGGTTTTTAGGGTCAAAAAAATTTGATAACCACTCTTTTAATTATTTTTTTATCAGTCGGTTTCTTCATTTGACTCAAAATTGACATAATTACTAATTAAAAGTTGTTGATAAATTTAGACGGATCGTGTCAGATCATTCTAAAGTTTACTGACTCATAAAACCGAATTTCGTGTTAAATAAATAATGGTGTGATGAGATAATTAATTGAGTTAAATGCGATAGAAATTAACGTTTGAGGAAATTTTCAAATTTGGGACTTTTGGAATATTTATTGTCTGCATACTTAACTCGTATAATAATTTTAAGATTTATGCAGGATAATCAGGCTGCACTATTAGTTGATCAAATTCAACAATACAAGAACAAGGAACTGAGCAAAGAGGTCCAAAGCAGAATTGAGGAATTTATCATGTTGAAGCAACAATCTAACAACCAGAGGCAAAAAAGACGACCACGTAAGTAACTTTTAGTCAAGTATTCATGAAGATGCTAACTGGGTTTTATAAGACAAATTAATTTGAGATGTTTCTCTACTCCTTATGGCACGTTTAATTATAGAAAAAATATTGAAAGACTATGAATAGTTCTTATTATTCGCATCATTGCATGTTAAATAATGTTTACGAAATATAATCTAAATAAACAGAACAAGCTTATGCGCGTTGCATGCCGCAGAATGGCAGAAAAAAAACATCAATTTGCATCAACATATCTTGTTCGTAAATTACAGTAAATTTCAATTTTTTTTTTTTTAGTTTTTTTTAATACATAATATTGAAAATATCAGAACAAACTCATATAATGCGTTTCTACTGAAACAAGAATTTCGTTTCGTTTTGCGTTACTGTCTAATAAGTTCTAAACATAAATTGTTCCGCACTTTTTCATGTGTTGGTTTTAATAATCTTATCATAAAAATGTATTGAATGAAGATTTATACGATTCAAACATCTTTTACTTCTTTTACTTTCGGGCTTGTAATGTTCTTCTTGATACATTAACTGTTGAGAACTACCAGCATTAGCGTAGATTCGGAATTTCTATTTGCAAAACTCTCTTTTAAACAGATCGCTGACTCTTTTTTTATATGTAGATTTGTGCATTTTAAAGGGCTTGGACAATACGTGTTCTCTGAAAATCACTTTGGACTATTTACAACTATACTATACAAGTCAAAAATACACTGCTGACCTATCCTTATCTTCTTGTGTATCTTCGATAATATAGCCGATAATCTGATAAATTTGAAAATAATTGTTGCGAAGCCATTCACGTGAAATCGGGACAAAAACAAATCGATTTCCAGTCATTTACAATTCCATATTTTATTATTGTCATTTACACATTCGTCCCACAGTCGGCTTTTGTAATGAAAGGAGCCACGTAAATGGGAGACTGAGCTATCGAGGCTGGTCCGTTATCTGCCCTTTATCTCCACCTACATTCAGATATTTCTTTTTGCTGGAAAATACGCCGCAGTCTATAAAGATTCAAATCTGTTCCAGGTCTCACACCTTGTTTGTTCAAGATATGCAACATGGGAAGAAAACGTCAACATCACGTTTTATGTACGTACAAAAGCGACTAATGATACAAAAGGAGCAACAATGTCCTAAACGGCTTGATGGGATGTGTGTTAAGCTAAAAATTGTATTTTCTGTTTAATGACGATAACAGATATTTTTTTATGTCACCACAGCTGAAAAGAAATCCAGAGCAAGACTTATAGGTTTCATTACTTGGAAGCAATAGTTTAAAATATTTGAAAGAAGATGTTTTTTTTCCTTTTTTCCGTTGTAACAGGGTATTTTCTTTCAGATTATTTTCATATTACATTTTTATCTGTAACCAGTACCTGCTGTATTCTTATAAATCGAAAATACACTCAAATGATGTAAATATTAGTCGTTAATATATCACAGTATCCCATTAGAGAATTTACAATGTTTGTTATGTAAGTGTAATTTTCGCGATCTGCAACTTATTCTATTTTCAACAATATTATTTTAGTATTATTACAGTATGCTATTTATTTTTATATTTTTATAAAACTGTAAATACACTTTAAATCAACCATCAGTAGGATATAGTTTAAGCTGCTACTTACGTGCATTTGATATAGCGGCCCTTTCTCGCTAGTTAGTTTACTATATCAACCTCGTTGAATATTTTTTATTTTTTTATAAATAAAGTCGACATAGGCAAATATCAAGTATCATAGTGTTTATTCGAGTCCTTTCTTACGGTTTTAGGCAAAAAACCAAAGAAATCAACACGCGCGCAGCTTGAAAGAGTTTTAACAATTTTTAATTTGTCAGTATTCACAAGTTTTTGCTTTTCCATTCCTTCCACGTTGTATCAGCTTGTATAACATTGTTAATTTAGACAACTGAAAGTTTGCAAGATTGAAACCGTTATTATAGGTATCAATTGTTTTTACATTTTCGAGTACATTTGTCTAAAATATTTGCATTTTCGTGTTTATTGTCCAATATATGTCCTTTAGCCCTATTCGCTCATCACTATAATCATGTAGCGAAGATCGTTGAACAAACAACTATTCTGCTGCATTCATGCAAGAAATAAAACGAAACAAAATTGTTCTAAAATACATTTTATTGAAAGCACCAGAAAGCACATATACAAATGTTTACAAAAAATACGATATATCATATTATAAAAACAAAACAAAATCAGTGAGATTATAATAGGTAGTAACTAGACAATTATAAAATGGTTTGCACCCCATACTATATGTGAACATCTGAACAGTAAAATAAGCTGAGCTTTGATCTAACATGTACCAGCATTAAGGCCACCTCAAGTTGTCTAACTCCTCTAAAATGCTTATTTCATATAGTTTTGTAATATTCTCATTTTAATTATTCGAACGTGACCTGAGTTGTTTTAGAACGTAGATAGTACAACCAAAACGTACTTGATGTCATTATTCACATCGTCCTGGAAACATACAAAAATTATTCACAAAACTGTATACATTGTGATTACATTCCAATAACTGTTATAATGGACCCACTAAGGCAAATAGTTAATTTCCCTATTGAGTCAATTATTCCCTTATGACTATTCAACCATATAAAGCAGTACTTGTATTCATAACAACCATAAACATTTATCGACTAGTGGCAGTAGATGAGAAAGCTGTTTTATAAGAATACGGTTTGACAAAGAATCGTTTTTTAGTGAGAATTTGATTTTTTGGACACTTATGGAGTGCGTAAGTTGAGGGAGTTGGTGAAATTAGTCGATAATGGCCAGAAGAACCTTTTTGTAGTCGCCAGAGGTGTCACCCTGCAAAGGGAAGGAAGTATTAGTTAAGGTCTTCTACAGTGTGGACCAACAATATAAAATCAGCAGCAAACCAATAAGGCTGCTAAATCATATTTATGGTCGCTTGATGTTAATATGATTAGATATCCCAACACAAAATACACAGTGCGGTTAAAAGGCAAAAAGACTAAACATATACAGGGAGGTTCACCAAATATATGCACAGCTATAGCGTTGATATCTGTAAGATAATTCTGAAGTTATTTGAATGTCTGATGAGTGGAAAGTTTTTGGTGGTTCACCCTGTATACCTTCATAGACTGGAACTGATCAGTGCAGACGAAAATAGCGAGCCGAATGAATAAATCATGCAAAACGAAATAATGTTTTCCCAACTAGCTATGTTATTAACGTGTGTTTTGTTGCGAAAAAAATTATGCGATCGTTAATGGTAATTAAAAGTGACTAAATAAATAATAACTGATACAGGATGAGTGTTAATCTCACCTCAAAATTGTAGGCCGAGCGACATTCCTCAGGGCAAACAAAGAGAAGGACTATTACGTAATGTTTGCACTTTTATAGCGCTCACTGGTAACTTCATTTAATACCGCGATAAAATATTAATCAAAAACCCGCCTACACAATTGAAAAAAATTAGTATCTGATAATGGCACTTAAATTCTAGGGAAAGCAAAACTTTTTAAAGGGAATTTATTTTTGTAAAACTAATATCAAGTTTCATCCATGTGCTATTGACTTAAATAGACACTGTATGAACTGAGCCCATTATTACACTAAGAACATTTTACTCTATGAGTAGAAACCAAGAAAGAAGAATTGACGTATGTAAATAACGGAATGTTTTAGAAAAAACTGCTTGATAATATATCTGAATTGCCTTCAAGCAGTGCAACTAAACAAATACACAAAAAACAATAAAAGTTTAGGAAGCAGGCAAGGAAGAAACGGTTGAGACGAGTATTATCCAAAATCTAGAAAAGTTTGAACCGCAAAGCTAGTTGGGTACATTTAAGTCTTCACACCTCTGGGCAACCACAAATAGGTTTGTGAAACTACCAAACACCTCCACCAAAAAAAAAGCAAATTTCTATATCTTACCTGAATCCAACTTTCCAAAGTCTTTCCATATTTATCGACAAAGGCCTGCTTGATGTCGGCCAAATCGATCTCTGATCTAGACACGACAATTCTGATCAATGTCTTGTCATTAGTGCCCAAACCGGCCATGGATTCGTGAAGTCGCTCGGCAAAGTACCCCACTTTGCTTTTTACACATTTAACTAAAATTGGGAGTTAATTTAAAAAAATATTCGGTACTGAGCAGGAACTTACCAATCCCCAACAATCCCTTCTGAATGCTTCCTGAGAATTCCTTCTTGATAACTGACTCGATGTCTTTGCCAGTCAATCGTTCGTATTCGGCAAACGTGGCTCTGAGCTGCTGGTAACTGCGGGTGATCAGAATTGAGTTAAATACTGACTCTTCGGTTCCCCATTTTGATTCGCCGGCTTCAATGATGGCCTGTGCATCAGCTTCAGCTTGTTGCTCATTGACTCCCTGGTTTTCATCTCTGTTAGCCTGCAATTCAAAGACATTAATCTCCAGTTCTTGAAATGAAGAATTTACCACTTACTTGACAGAGAGAGATCAAGAGTCGCTTGAAGTGGCCGGAGGTGTCGTCTTTTAAGTCTTTTTCTAGAGGTTTTCCGTACACTGCAATAAACGTTCGATCAATTAGCCTAATCGCAGGGCAATAAACGATATCATCTGTGGATTTTCAGTGTATTTTCAGAAATAGTAAAGTGATTGCTTTCGGTAAATAATATTAGTAAAGTAAAGTCAACGTTGCGCCATATATTCCATATTTTGGTGATATTATCAAGAAAAATCTACTAACATAAACTGAAAATGTCTCAATACCAGATTTTTCTTTACTTTTACGCATTTATGTGAATTGTTTCTAAAACAAAGCAATAAGATTTAAATGATTTTTTCAATTTTTGTCTGTTCTCTTTATTTAAATCTATGTGTTGAAAAAAAACTTAAATGAAAGTAGCAGAAAAAGAAAAATGAATATTGGCCCGAAAAAACAGAAAATACACTTTTAAATGCATTCTCGCTTGAATAATTTTGGGTAAATTTGATAACCTCTCGTTGTTTCTAATAAATAAATGAAGTCTGAGCAATGAAGAAGACTTACATTGTTCGTAGAATTGACCGATAGTTCTAATACCGTAGTTGGATAATGTGCACAATATTTCAATGATGGCTTCTTCATCGGTTCCCAATCCAGCAACAGCGTCGTGAAGTTCTTTCGCATAAAATTGAGGCAATGGAGTCATCAGAGCCACAATCACATCCTCAAACTTGCCTCCAAGTTCGCTTTTCAGTTCGGAAATTAAGTCTTTGCCGTACGAAGTCTGAAGAGAAAAACATAGCTACAATTTATTTCTCGGTTAAGTTGGAATTTTTAAATTGCAATTTTCCTCAAGGCCGGTGTTTATTTCAAAAAAAGCATTTAAAATGCAGTTAAGCCCGGTGAAAGTTTGCAACTAGTTTTGCTTGATTTCTCTTGTGTCTTGAAAGAAACGTGAGCTTTCCGTAATCGGTAGTAAGTGTGGCGTCATCTTTACAACATTTTATGTGGGCGATGTTAATTCCAATCGTTTGTAGGCGTGACCTCATGCCAAGACTATTTGGTCATTGTTATGATAGCTTGACTCAATTTTTCTTCAGATTATCTGCATTCAATATGCATCTAGAGCATTCTTCCACCTTTGTAGCTTCTTTGAAGATTGAAGATTTTGTCTTACCTTGAAAGTTTCGGCAATTTCTAGTCTTTGTACGATGCCTCTGCGGGCCAAAACATCGATTATGGCTTTTTCATCGGCTCCGAAACCTTTCATCGCCTTCTTCAGGGTGGCAGCATCAGCTACGGGGTCGAAGGGGTCTGCTGGGTAAACAGTGGGGGTGCACTAAAAAAATGAATAACAGTGTGAATTATCAACAAAAACAATCGCATTAACTACGTTCGTAAATGAATGAGAATTTCCACATTGGGCGTATAATGGTGTTGGTAATTTCCGGTGTGTTTTTCTATGGTCAAATTAATTCAATGCCAAACAATTTTCAGTTTAGCTAACGTTGAATGAAAGGACTGCTCTAATCGTGAGTGTTATTTATAGATGGTTACCCAAGAACTTCCTTGCTGAACTATGCTAGAAAGATTCTGGTTAATCTAGTGGGCTGTTCAGTCATCATAAGGCACTCCCACAGATGCTTTAATCAAAATCAACTATGTATTTACAGCCAGAGATTTAGAGTTGTATATATTTGTAAAACTAGATTTAATTTTACATATAATTGCGGTCTATGCATATAGGGATCTAAAATATTATAATTCCAAGTTTTGCAACTGAACTAATTCACAGTTTTGCAACTGAATAATTCACAGTTCTAGCTAGGACAGATTATTCGATTGTATCGGCTTGGAACTTAGTTCGGCAATGAGAACATAATATTTACGCTAAAATGAACGAGGCAATTCAACATTTTTAATGGAAAACAATATTTTTGCTCTTTATTTTTTATTCATCCACTGATTTTATTGCCATGAGCCGGTTTTGTCCTTGTGGAGCGAAAACTGATTCCATCTAAGCGTGGGATAAACCATTAGAACGGCACATCTATTTTGAGTTTTATTAAATAAAGCATGCACGGGCAATGTTTCCAGTTTATTTTTATATTTTTTAGATTCCGTAGAAATTTCTAGTTAGTTTTCTTAGAGGTCATCCAAAGACTTTCCATAATTTTTAGAAAGTCAACTAACTACAAATTCTAGTATTTTTCCATTCCAGTCTTAATTCTTTTGTTAATCACATATAGCCAGTAGTTTTTTAAACCGTTCATGAAAGTTAGAAAACCACTCCACTAATCAAAGCGCTCAAAGTGGAAGTTAAGGCGGTTAATGGAATTATTTTTTCGTCAGATCGTGATTATTTCACTTCAGCATTATATTAACCTGACCTTAAGAGAATCGCCCAGTAGAAATGATGAAAAAAACACTGTAATTTCCATAAAACTGTATATTTAACCCTTTTAACAATGTATTTACAATAAAAAATCAGTTTTGGTTCCATGCTATAATTGCCTATATTTTCAAACAATTATTACTTTTGTTGCTTCATCGTTTAGATTAAATTCGAAATAATTTGCAAATGCAAAACAGTTCAGTTTCAGAAAAATTATGTTCTGATTAGGATGAGTCAATGTCCAAACATTGCCAACACTAATCAGGTGACAAACAAGGTCAATATTATTTATCCTGCACGTAGGACATAATTAACAGCATAATTTACATGTTATTTTTACATCAACATCCTAAATATTTTTACGGTGTGTAAGTGTATGGAATAATTTATTGTTTGAAAGTTCAAATTTTTAAGTCCCATAAAACGGCTACCGAAAATGTGTAAAACAGGCAAATAAAAAATCCGAACAAGCTAAATGTCCTGAAATCCAAAGTTTCCAAAGAGAGCTTCCTAAAAAAGTATCTAACACCGTTGTCTAAAGCAGGGCATAAATGTTGTTAAAAAGTCTTGTAAAGTGTTCCTGATCGCACTATCCCCATTCTCTAAATTTCCTAACAGGAAATTATTATTATTCTCGACTTATCGATCTTCCGATGGACTTCGTTGTTGATTATTTCATAAATATTCACTCGAAAACCCCTTAATTATCTGTGCCAATTCGAATTTCCCCCTTAACACACCCCAAGTTTCCGTGTTAGTATAATGTTTCGAAAGCTGCTAGTAAAATAAACTGGAATGTGGTGCCAGAATGTCTCGTCCCTATTAAATACAAGAACGCTTTCCATGCCAAGCCTAAGTTTTTAGTTGGAAACGATCAATATTTGCTTTCTATAACATAAAGTTGCCAAAGTCGAAGTGAGGTTTTATGTTGGAATTGTTTGGGAAAAATAACAGCTTTAAGATTAGATCGTTTTGGCTTACTGAGATGACCTTTTTCCGTGAAACAGTTAAATGAATACCGTGTCTTTGCCATCAAGATCTCGAATAGACATCATCAAGCAAGTTATCTCATAACCTCGGTATGCAACCTTCGAACGTGAATCATGGAATAATTTAAAAGCAGCCAGCCATAAACATCATTCAAGATGTAGAATGAATAAATAAATACGTAATTTTATTGCACTTGCACACCAATAGCAACATGTTTTTCAATGGTTATCAGTAAGCCACCCTATTGTAGCTTTGAATAAATAATACAGCTTTTTGCGCGAATTTTCTGGCTAATTATATCAGCCAAAAATTATTACCTTGCTAGCAAATTTTCCTCGTTGATGCGAGCTCTCAAAATTTGGTCAGAACTTTTAAAAATTCCTGAGTTTATGGAACTTTTCACATTTTTTTCCAAAGTCGTGTTTAAGTCATAACAAACATCATAAATAAATTACCTTATCGATGTTTATACTATATTTAAATTTTTAACTGCTACTTCAAGAGTTTAATATATTAATGTACAAATTCGACTAATATTCAAAGTTTCCAAAGGAGATTGTTTAGTTTTCTGTTGATTTAATCAATAAGTGCAGCCAAAAAGAAAACGAAAATATTCTTGGCACGATTTCAACACACTAGCATCATTAAATTACGTAAACAAAAACATTACTGAACTGAAACTGAAATTCCATTCGAAAAGATACTATTAATTAAGTTTTTCAATTAAACTTTAAATATTTTGAATCAATCTAAAGAACCGTGATTAAAATAAATTAAAATTTTTTATTTTTAACAAAATGCGTTAATTTTTCCGAAGAACGTTGGAAGGAGCCTCATTTATTCATTTAATTTAAATATTAATCTTGGTTTTGATTTTTGTGATAATTTACCAAGCAGCATAAGAACTGCCCTTGTGTTTCTTTTGCTTAACGCCTCACATGACACGCCCTTAAAATATACCGGGTGGAGCACTTAAACGACTTAAATCTATACGTTTAATTAATAAGAATAGATCAATTTTCTTCAAGTGTAATTCATTTCTAAGTAAGCATCATTAAGACTTGATTATTTCCCATTAATGTTTCCAGATTTATTCTTATCTCTGTATTGTATATCGTTATATGTTTAATGAGCGTGAGCGCGTTTATAGAAATAACGTTAGATCCTAGAATGGAAAAAATCGTAAATATTTGCGCAAACACTGCTTTCAGGTACACGAAAGAGTAGGCCCTGTGTGGGATCCGGATTAATTGCTCCAATCTTATTAATTGCAATTTAAGCTCCCAATGTACCACAATGAAACCGGCAAAAATGCCTCAATATGATTAATTAGTTTTATATACTTAATTGGAAGCGTTTTTTTGATAGAAGTAATCCCGAGAATTTTTCCTTTTTCTGCTGCATGGAAAAGGTTTGCTTGCTTTTAGTAGCAAGAGCTACATAAGTTTTTTATAACAACCTGTCAATTGAATGATTACCCACATGAATGACTTCATTCGTTCATTTCAACTACCATTAACATGAATCAGTTGGCGCATTTTATCTTTAAGTACTTACTTCTAACTATACCTAATCTGTTAAGTAGTAAGTTAAGAAAGTTCTTACCTTGAATGGGTAGTATTGTTGGCTGGTCATGATTACTGATTCGATATTAACTAGAAGAAAAAAAACAAAACTAGTAACTAATGGAACAATAAATTAATGCTTAACAAACAGGTACCGGGTACGACTTTAGTCGACGAATTATCAGTCTCAACTGAGTGCGTCGACGCCCGTTTAAGAATAAATATACTTTGCACATTAACAAACCAGTGATATCATCGTTTTAAATAAACGTTACCTTGCAATGGTGAATAATAACATTTGTAATGAGTAACATTTCAAGAACTGAAAATGAATGAAAATTGCAGGAATTTGCAATATAACCGATACAAATACCGAGTTTATTAACATAATAAGACCTGGCGCGTGTGGGTCACCGATAAGGATAATGCCGCCTAAATTTGTATTTTAAGTATTTTACTTTGACAGTAATTTGTGTGTATTATATGTATTCTGTCGATTTTCGTAAAGGTCCTAACTTTTGAACTAAAGGGTTCTAAGATCTTTAAGGCAAAAGTCTATTTTTTATGACGTTGGTAAGACAAAAAAGTACACCAAAAAAAAATCATGTATGATTATTTTGCACGTAATTTCTACGCCAATGTGAAAAATGGAAATTTGAAAGCACATTTACTGTTTTCTACGCAAAAAAGTACCTTTTCCCAAAAGCTCTATTTCAAGTCGCTTTAGGGGTAAAGTACATTTGAATCGATTAAACAATAAAATAAAATAAAAAACAGCTCACAATACGGTTTTTGACTGAGAGCACTCTTTTGCTCAGAAAACAATGTTTCTTCAACTGATGTGATTGAAAGTTTTAGTTTTTCTCAGTAGATTAGAAAGTAGGAACAAAATAATCCTACTTGACCCCAAAAGGGGTGACTGCCAGGTCCATATTGCCATACGGTTTATATTCTATTTTTGAATAAAGTTGTGCTTTTTTGTTTTGAGCACACTTTTTAAATTTTTTTAAAAAACATGAAAAAAATACATTTTCAACGCCAATTATTAAAAATTATATAACATTCCTGGACGATTCGATGTCTGTCTGTGAAAATTTTCCACTAAATTAATAATAGCCGTAGTTTTATTTGGCTGAATTTTTTTTCAATTATACCAGACGTTTACGTGATTAATTTGCCAAAAATACTAAATTTTAGTGCGCTCTATAGGGGTAAATTCGCAAAACTGAAACCATTTGTAGAAGCTGAGAACGATTTATGTGGACCAAGTTCTATAAAAAGCGACAAACATGTTCATTTTTATTTCAATACTTTCAAACTCGAAATCGTGTTTTTTTCGATGACTAGTGGAACATATGCCGGTCGGAAAGAGTATGCTAATTTTAACCATGATTAGTTGCGGGCTATTTTTAACAGTATCAATAAATGCACGTCGATAACTTAAAATTGTCGCATAGAAACGCCAGTAAATGATCAATTAAACAAGGCAATTGATGTAAAAACGAAATAATCTGCTAATTTAGGTCAGCGCCACTATGGTTTGGTCATACTTTATAGATTTTAGACCGGCATAACCTTTTGAGTAAGTAATGCAGGTGATTTGCACCATCTGCCAACATCAAGATAAGTTTGGAGATGTTTAGAAGAAAATTTATTCAAATTGGATTAAACTGTACTTACTTGGCTCTGAAATGGAACAAAATTCGTAAAAAAGTCACACCCAGAGAGAATGTAGTGAAAATTCCTGCTGGCTTTCGACTATGCGCAAACAGAACAGGATTGAATTGAACGCTGCTGGCTGAAGACGAATATTTTTGGTGCCGCTGCTGATATTCCATGTCGAGGTCGAAAGCTGGGGCTGCGGATGTGGTCATGGTGGAGGGACACAACTAGTTTTCTCATTGGCGTACGCGAAGCCACAAAACGCGTCTTCGTAACGGTACAAGAGCAAAAAGTGCTGTTATTTACCATATTTCAAGCGGTTCAAGCAGATATGTTTCAAGGAATTAAGTAACACCCAAAGAAGTCATCGCATCAGAAATCAAACCCAACTTACCTTACCGAATTTTACTCTAATTTATAAATGTTTCATTTACTGCCTGTCTATGTGACAGAAATTTCAAAGTTGTCACTCAATAATTTATTCATTTGACACGTCATGTCCTGAGTCATTGTCAGTGTTTGTCATTCCCGTCAAAACTGTTCAGTTTTGCCTTTATAACTCCTAGGTAGATATTTTGTGGTACGTGATTTAAATTAATTATCATTTCCTTTACTTAATCCGTACACTACAAACATGTCAACTTTCTCAGCGATAGAATAATGTTCAATTTTAGAGAAACAAAAAATACTAAGTTTACGGTAAACTTCGGGTTGTCTTCGTTCAACACCAAAGACAGTAAAAACTCTCGGTTTGTCAAATGTATGAAATAATTTGTTGTTAAGTTAAGTATTGCTTCTAAGCAACAATTCAAGACATTTGCAAACAAAGCGAATTTGTTTCTTGAAATATTTTTTTTTTACAAGAATGATGCAAGGAATTGTATATGAATCATTGCAAGGAATTGTATAGTAGCAAAAAGAAATGAAAGTTATTTCTCGTTAAGGTTAAATTAATATTAAAGATAGTAAACATTTCTATTTTTTATAGAATAAGCGGAAGAGCCCGGCCGAAGCAAAAGACAATGAAGCTTCCAGAATATTCTAATGTTTTAAGCCCAGAAGATCATGCGCTAGTTTTGGTAAGTTCAACTACTTAACCACTGATATGCGCATCATTAAAGGGTTTGAGCCGTTTGTTAAACATATCGATTCACTATCGATATTTGCCACTAGCTATTATATAACACTTTCTGTCGTATGTAGTTGTCAGCTTGCTTCACTGAAGTTCAGCTACTCTAATGCTCGATCTGAAGATTATCGTCAATGTTTTCCGGTCTTGTCAGCACTGAAATTGCGCTTCAATATATTTAAAAGATCAAAAAATATCGATTCAAAGTGCTTCGATAGCCCTTCTCTTCTCTTTTCGCATAGGCACGCTGACAGTACTACCCTTGACAAGAATTCGTTGCAAATTGATAAAATTGTTGCGAAATATTAACAATATTTGACAAAACTATGCGCGATTCTTAAAAAATGTGTTAAAATATGGTTAACGCAATAATTTTAGTCATTTGGGTGCCTCGGCATCATGTGCGTATGATACTGTGCGAGCTACTGGCAAATCTGCAAAATGCCTTGAAATCAGGTAAGAATTTTAAAGTTTTTCCAACAATGCCTACAGTTTGAAATTGTTTGCCAACTAGCGGTCTAAGTGCGATTATTGTAAAACTTCGGAATGATTTTGGAGGGAATTTGAATTTTTTTATTATTCCGTCCGCTAAAGAAGCGCATGTGCGTAAAATTTCCCGCATAAAATTTGTATTTTAACAATAAAATCTGCTCCTGCCCGACCGCAACACAAAAAACCGGCCATCATTTCATCAAGCTATAAATTCGTTGTGTAGTGAGTGGACTCCCATCGATATACAAATACATAACCACACATAACCTAGCTTAAAAAGGATAAAAACAGAGAAGTATATATGAAATAAATTGCTGCTTAGAGCAAATTAATGGTCAGAGACTAAGCTACGTAGTTCCAGCTATGGATTTTTGGAAGGATCTGGGAGGTCCGACCAAAATTGTCGCCCCCATGGTAGATGCCAGCGAGTTGGCATGGCGCTTATTGAGTAGAAAATATGGGGCCCAATTGTGTTACACGCCAATGTTGCACAGTGCCCTGTTCTCCAAGGACCCAAAATACCGAGCTGAGGCACTTGTTACGTGTGAAGACGATAAGCCCTTGATAGTGCAGGTGAGTTAAATAGTACTAATCTAGGCCACAGAAGAGAGTAATAGAATCGATTTGGTTGTTTCAGTTCTGTGGAAATGACCCTCAAACGATGTTGGATGCAGCCCTATTAGCGCAAGACCATTGCTTGGCAATTGACATAAATTTGGGCTGTCCTCAAGCTATTGCAAAAAGGGGCCATTACGGGGCTTTCTTGCAGGATGAATGGCAGTTGTTACACCGTATAGGTAAATATATGTTTCTAGATCGAGAGTTTTGGAAAAAATCACAAAATATCCCCCAATATAAAGGGGGTATGTTCTGTGGAAAAAATGCTTGAACTTGACTTGTTATGTCTGTTTAGTTTGTTATGTCTGTTAGTAAACTATTTTAAGCCACTTGGTTGGTATCAAGTTCCCGTTGTGTATTTAGCACATTTTAAGGATAATACCTACATTTATATTTCTAGTAAGCTTACTGAGCCAACATTTGAAAGTGCCGGTCACATGTAAAATCCGAAGATTTGAAACCAAAAAGAAGACAGTACAGTATGCGAAAATGCTGGAATCGGCAGGTTGCAAAATGTTGACTGTCCATGGACGCACTAGAGAACAAAGGGGCCCTCTAACCGGCCTGGCAGATTGGAGTTATGTAAAAGCTGTAAGGTAGTAAATTCGAAGCACGAAAATTCATAATACTAATTACAAGCTTGTTTCTTCAGAGATGCAGTAAAAATACCAGTTATATCGAATGGCAACATTCAAAACATGCAGGATCTGCAAAGATGTTTGGAAGAAACTGGAGCAGTAGGAGTAATGACTGCCGAAGGCAATTTGTACAATCCTGCCCTTTTTCTTTGCCAAAATCCCCCTTGCTGGGTTCCAGCTCTTGAGTATTTGCAATTGGCCGAAACATACCCGTGCCCCAACAGCTACATCCGGGGGCATTTGTTCAAGCTATTTCACCATGTGTAAGAAAACCATGTTTGCAAAACTTTTCGAAACCATACCCAAATCGAATGCGCCTTTTAGACTATCAATCCCCGAAAATAACCCTCTGAGAGGGGAATTGGGAGCAGCCAATACTCTTGATCAGTTTAAAGAGATTACAAAGAGAATTATGGGAATTTATGAAAAATTCTATCTAGGAAAAGTAATTTGGAAACACTGTACGGAAGAGGGCACACAAAACTTGATATTACCTCCTTGGTTGTGTCAGCCCTATGTGAGAGATACTCCCGAAAACCACGTTAAAAAAATGGAAGAGCAGAAAAAGGAGGCGGAGAAAAAAATTGTAAGTAAAACCTCTCAACAGCAAATATTTTCTCAAAGAAAAGCCGGACAATTTTATATGTACTTTACATTTGTTGTTATTAGGCTGAAGGAAGTAAAAGGTTGTACGAAGATCCTGAAGGCAACGTCATTAGTAGAAAGAAGATGAAAAGACTGAGGAGAATGATGAGAAGGCCAGAAAAGCCAGATTCTTGTCCAGAACGTCCTATGGAAAAATGTTCTCTTTGCGAAAATCCACTGGTAAATATCCGTTTCTTATTGTACCTTTTTCTTGCCGCATAGGTTTATCTGCTATTTTTTTATTAATTTCAGGGGTTCAAATGCGGTTATAAGCTTTGCAAGAAATGCTGTCGTGATAAATGCTTTACCGGTAATCTTGATTGTGAGGGTCACAGAATTTTGGTAAAAACGCGCAGAAAAATGGCGAAGTTTTATGCCGATCAGACAAAGAAGTCAAGTTGTGCCCAAATGGAAAGCACCGATCCTGAGGTGCTATTAACAGGTATGGCAAGAGATGGCTCGTGACAATAAATGTTTTTGTTTATTAAATTTGTTTCATTTTGCAACCCAATTTTTTGACTTGATTTTTGCGTTTAATATTGAATTATTTATTTATATATCTTCTTGAGAACAAAAGAAATGCTTTCCAATATTTGTAACATCCGACATTTGTTTAGAAATGTATGCACCGCAATTTATCATCATGACATTTATTCGAATTTGATGTCGGAATTACTTTTATGTAGCTGACATATGACACAGCATCTCTGCAGGATATTTTAGTCGCATAAGTTCACTAGAATCGAAAGCGGGATTTCCATCTATGAATTGCCTTTTTTTAAAACAATCAGCTAATGTCAATAAACCTGACGGGATGCTTAATAACGCATTGTTATTCTATTACTTCCTAACAATCAGGTTTTACGAAGCTTCGACAATTAGCGGTAACGGCATGTTTTTCAGGGTTTTCCTTTTTAATTTATATTAGAATCGAACTGTTCGCTTTTAAGTATCTTAGATACAATACTTAATTTTTTGCTGTAAAGTTCTAAATTAGTTTTCGTTTCTTTTCTATGTCGCATTATAGTTTTTCTAGTATTATGGCAAATAAGTTCGTGCCGTTAACGTTTCTGCTAAGATATTGAAACGGTGGTTAATAAATTCGAATTAAATTATCTCTCTCAAAGATGAACAAATAAAAAGCATCGTGTTGATGTAAAACATCGGACGATTTAATATCAAACTCAATTAACGGCATACTAATTGCTGCTTACACATAGATCGCTCGAAAATAAGTATATGGCGCCTATTGAATAATTAATATCGCGGACATTCGTATTAGAGAACTTGTGCAATTAAAACAGCAATTATACTATCAGTGTTGGACTGATTGTTTCGTAACTGTATTCGAACACGCGAAATGATTTATGGTTTTTTACGCATTCGTTTCGGCCAAGGTGCCGAGAATTGATCTTAATCACAATATTAATCAAATATACGTTTAAAAAATATATGGAAATCTCGCGGAAGGAAACCCATCACCTGCGTGTTTTTGGCCTAATTTTATAATAAAAAAACGAATAGTACTTAGAAGCTTGTACTATTACAGCCCATTAAATAGTAAATGATCCGATAATGCGTAATGGCTTAGTCAACGGTAATTTAAAATTGATATATCTCGGCCAGGTGACCTGCTAATATGTGCAAGTGGTGCTTATTCATTTATTGCAACGTGCACTTGTACCTATTATGATAAACTGGGCGGATAATCTAGGAATGCGCCGGAAAATCTGCAAACAAATTAGATCTATTCACAACGACAAACGCTGCAATCTTCACAGACAGTGAACATTCTCGCAGAATAATGTTTTAATTTTGTCACAATCGCCATGCCCTCACTGATTCCTTCGTTTTGACTCATTAGCTGCGCTTTTGAATAGGCCATAATTCTTCGCCAGGAACTAATCTAAGAGTTCGGACAGGTTTTATGACCGTTTACTTTAGCCACCAGGTAAACAACGTTTTATTGCCAATACCTCTAATTACCACGCACCTGCAGCATGAATGGACATACCCCAAAGAGATAAGATTGCAATCTTCGGCGAACAACAATGGCTTTCGTGCAAGTTTTACCCCATACAGCGCAAAAATGCAATGACTCAGTCGTTGTTCAACAAGTTCGTGCAGGTAGTGGAGTAATGAAGAAAGCGTCGTTAAGTTGTTAATCAACATCAACAATTATGGGTATTGCGCAAAAACCTGCTTTGTTGCAGTGATTGCTTCATTTGGTTCTAGAGTATTTAATTTGAATATTTCCTTATAGAAATCCGAAGAATGCCTAAGTAGAGGAAGTAAAGATTGAATGGATAAGATATTTAGAAGTGCGCGATGCTTCATACTTCTTAGTCGATATAATCCTTAACTTATTTTACAAGTTTTATCAACGTCCTCTCTAGTAGTGTCTCGAATATGCGAAAGTACCGTTACTAAACCGTAGGTACGTGAAAGGTTTGCTTCCGAAGGGCATGAAAGTAGCAGTTAATCTTCAGTGCGTGAATGGTTCCCGTACTAACAATAGTCGGTTCTTCCTGAGCCCCGAACAGATAACACGGCCAAGCAGTTATCTGGTAGGATTTCATTAACAGTTTGGTGCAGGCAACAGAAACATTTACAGCACGGTCGCTCACACATAAACACACACGTTACAGCTTACAGCAAAGTCGTTTCAATCTGAGAAGCGCTCCGAGTTTACGGGTCCCAAGCAGACTCTCTTTGGTGCTTTTGGTATACGGTTGTGACGGTTTTTTGCCTCTTAATCAGTTGCTCATCACGCAAAAGAATAGGGGCTCGCGCTCAAACTACTCATATTTTTTTGATCATACTTGATGATTTTAGTCTTCGAAGATGCGGCCCGCTAGGAATATTTGTTTAGGGTTTCTAGTTATCTGTGTTATTTGGAAAACCCACGCAGCTGAAGAGGTAAGAGAGTTCCTAGTTTATTTGTTATTTTCTGCTCCTTTTGTCATGTCAACGAAACTTATTAACTATTTCTGGAAAATATTTTTTTCAATGACAAATTATTGGAAAATTTTGCTGAAAAAACTGCCGATCTTGTTAACATTTGTTCTCTAAAAGTACATTTAGTCTTCTGGTTTTTTCCATCGAACGGCTTTTGGTATAGAGGAGGAACATTCGCTTACCCGGCTCGAAGGACCAAAAACTCTAATTAAACGTTAGTGCTAGAGAATGCTATGTGCTTCCTTGTATTTGTGTTCAGATGTTTTCTAGCTTTTTTTTAAGTTATTGTAGCTTTTTTACCTTAGGCTGATTTATATTGGCGGGAGTTTATTGTTTTGGTAATAACTATTATTATGCAATCAGAAAGGAAGAAAAAACTCTACTATCCAAGTTGAACTATGGATACTTTGCAGGTCGGTTTAGTGAGACAAACCAACACTATTGTCTATTATAGTAATTATGCAAAATCGTTTTTATTACCCAACTAGTAATTTAATCTGACATTTGAAATTTCGATCTTGGATAATAATATGCATTTATGCATTTCTAATTAGATTGCATTTTTTTCGCATTGTGGCAAGGCAATTCCATTAAAAAGAACTAAGTCGAGGAAAAAATGCGGTTTCGTCGCTTGAAAGATATTTATCGTGCATCTCGATGATCGGTAAGGAGTGGAGGCCTCTGAAAGGAAGGCTTTTAATGTCTGCATCTGTTAATCAAGCTAAGCGATGAAGGTAATTAATAAAAATTTCACAGAAAAGATAAAATGTTAATACAAAATGCAAAAAGGTGTCGGTCGGCAGGCTCGGGTTGGTTGAAAAAATGCCGGGATGTCTTCGAAAGTCTCTGGTTGAGGAATGCAGAATTTCAGAGAAGGATTCAGGGCGTTGCAAATATATTTATTTTTTTATCTCCCAACTAATCTGCAAGGTTCCCTTGTCTCATTGTTTCTTTAATCTTATTAGGTGGCGACCATTTCCTTTGTTTGGTTTGTCATTTAGGATGTATTTGTAATGTTCCTTTTTTTTCTTCAATCAAATAATATGAGTTTTCTCAAGTACCTAATATGTATTGATCTAAGTTTACTAGAGCAGAAGGCTTTAAAATTGACTCTTTGAATCATCTGCTTCATTTGAATGGATTAAATTCACAATTACACTCAAGTGATTATTTTTTTAAATAATCGAATTTGAGTCAGGACCTGTTTTAATTAAATATGCAAAAGCGACAACGTGCAAATCTTGTAACTATTGAACTGACCGCTACACCCTATCGCGAAAAACCATTCAGTTCCCCATTTGAAACAAAAGATTTCTTTGTTTGCAGCACTAAACCGGCCCGATGGCTTTTCAAAGATCCGCAGTTAACGGAATTTAACATTTTGGTTCTTCAGTGCAGACTTTTTAAAACATAAATATTTAAATCGTACCTTCATCATACTCTTAGTACCGCCTATTGTGGAGCATTTAATAATATTTTTATAGAATCATTTGCTTGCTGCAAGAAAATACTGTTAAATTGATGTTTACTTTCAAACATTCGGCTTCAATCAAATTGAACAAACTTCGAAAAATGATTCACACACGTTAACAAATGAGATTTAACAAGGAAAATAAATGAACATTTAAGTTTGGACATAAATCACTCACAGCAAAGGTCGCCTTTTATACAATTATTATGTAGCTGAGCTCAAAAAAAAATCAAATTTTGTTTCTTTGCCACTGGCTGGAATATAGTTTCAAAGAAAGAGTCAAAACAAATCTGTAGCCATAATATATTTTCCAATGTAAACGAGCCAAAAAGTTTATTTAAATTTACAATTTTTCCTTTAATGATTCACTGCGGGTCATCAGACAATGTTTACAAAAGACTGACTAAGTTTTTTCCTTTCAATTTAACATATCCAAACTAAACATGATTTATAAACGATGTTGTTTAACATACGAAAATTTGTGTTAAAGTTGACTGGCTAGGCATAATTTAAGCTATGGTTGGCCATGAAAATTGCGAACATGGCTTGTCAATTTTCAATTTGCACTTTTCTTAAAACAATAAATGATCGTTTAATTGATTATTGCGCTAGTTGTTTGGTCTGCAAGAAACATAACTTTCGACCAGATGTTGAATTGACTGGTTTATTGGGCTTCTTTGAACACTTGCTAACTAGATAATATTATTAAAGCGTGCGTTTGAGAAGAGGCTTTCGTTTACAACTGGTGGACTTTTCTTGATTAGCAAACACGTAGTAGTTAACTTAATTTACGTTGAAAAAAATGTGTTTGTTTTAACAAGGCTTTATACGCAAGTTGTGATTTTATTTTTTGCTAATATTGATTTAAGTTTTTAGTATAAATGGTTGAAAATATTTTTTAATTATTGAAAATCCACTGACAAATGCATGCATATGGAGAAAGCTCGAAGGCAAGCAGCTTTGTCAGAGTCTTAATTTTGATTAGTTTGTAAGCACGTAATTTTCGTTGTTGT